GGCTGCAAAGAACCCAGGGCTGAAGCTGTCAGGATTTACACAATGAGCCCCAGTTCTGCAGGGGTGGGGTGGGGTAGGCTGGACTGCCTTGACAGCAGACTCAGTTTCCCTCTTCCTCCTCCTCACGCCCAGCCACGATTTGCATGCACAGAAGTACCTGGGTTCCAGCTCCTGGGTCAGTGTCAAGTGGACAAGGGCAGTGGGGTGCAGGAAGCTGAAATAATGGTCTTAACGGCAACCAAGAAAACGTTCTGGGATCAGAATGAGCTGAGGGTCCCCAAACCACAGGGAGGCGAAGACTCTCCCACGTCTGACCTTGCACGGCTGCTCGTACCAGCTCTCTGAGGCAGAAAGGGTCCCCTTGTATCAGATAGAAACATGGTCATTCCACCATGGACCAGGCCAGATTCAGCACCTGGCCTGGCAAGGTCCACTTGCAGCTTCTCCCTACAGGGCCCTGGTTCCTGCACCGCCTGGGGCTGGGTCCCCCTCTCCTTCCCTCCTGGGCCCACATACATCAAGCCAGGGCCAGCAGAGGTCTGTCTGCCAGGAGAAAGGACAGGGGAACTGGGGACCAGGGGACCCACCTGAGTGCTGGCTCTAGGCAGACTGGACCCTAAGGTTTAGCCCTGCCTCCTCCTGATTGCCGCATCAGCTGACACCCCCACAGGGTGGGGCCTGGGGACGCAGAAACACATCAAGGGTGACTGCGCTTGCTCAGAAGCGGGTGACACAGCTGCTGCTGGTCCCAGGGGATCCCCACCCATGGAGGCCACACTCAGGGCATCTACTACCCTCTGCTCATCGGGCATGGCTGATGACCCCAGGGGCAAACTGCTTTCTCCTGTGCAGGGGGGCTTGCTGACCGTCACCATGAAGACCTCCAGAAATAACCCAAGTTGTCCCTCCAAGGTCAGTGGTAGGGGATGACCTGAGGGATCTGGCCCCTACCCCCTCCTGACCGTGGGCTGCAGCGGTTCTACCTGGGACCCCTTGAAGACCAAGAGAGCCCTTGAAGCACCAGAGGTCACGGGGAGGAGGGGGACCTGTCAACCGTCTGAGAAGTGGGGTGTGCGGTGGGAGGGAAGCCACACATCTCCCACCGAGCAAGCAGACCAGCCAGCCCTGAGCTTTCCTGTCCCTTCTCTGGTGCCTACCCCGCCCACCCTCAGCCTCCGTAGCTGCCCCTTTAACACAGGCCATGGTCCCCCGTGCGGGACTCTGGGCAGGCCCCCGCTGGCCGTGGCCTCCATGTCCCGGTCTGGGTCAGGGGACCAGGAACTCACCAAGGTCCCCACAACCTGCCGCCTCACACACTCTGACAAAATCTACTGAACGCACCTACTGTGGGACAGAATCGTGGGATTCTTATGTGTGATGCTGACATCACTGAGTCTGCTTAAAATGCACAAAGGCAGTGCAGGGAGGGCAAGAGACAGCCTTACAAACCCCAATTGTGCTGAGAGCTCTGTTCTGGCTCCAGAAGGATCACTGACTTGGGACGCAGGCTCTGACACCAGGTTATGATCACTCTCAGCCAGCCCGAGGCCTCTGGTTACCTGAAACCATCGTGAGCATTGGGGGGTGGGGTATGATTTGGGTCTGTGACATTCCAGGAACCACCGAATACCCCTTGCCCTCAGGGCCACTTTCTGAGCATGCAACCACCCTCAGACTGACCGTGCACCCCCTGCCCTCCACCCACCCTGGCTGACCCATGTGTGCTTCCAGGGGACCTGGGGAACCTCTCAGACTGAGCACGGTGGCCCCAGGACTGAACATGCCCCAACATCAACACTGGGAGTCTGAAACCCTCCCCGACGCTTGCTGCCGAAAACATTCCTATACTCCTTATTTAAGGGGAAAACACGTCCCACCCCTACACACACACACACACACACACACACACACACACACACACACACACACACACACACAATTTCTTCTTGGCCAGCTGGAGACTGGGCCAGCACAGGCAGCCCGGCTTCATTCACAGCCTTCCACCTGCTCCAAGTTCTTGGAGGCTCATCGGAGTGAGCTGCACTTTGCCACTCACCCTAGACGCCGGAGCAGTCGCACCACGTTGTTCCCATTTCCAAGAGCTATCCTGTTGAGAGAGGAGCTGGAACAACTTACAGGAGATCGAAGGTCGCAAAGAGTGACCTTCGCCTACTTTTTTGATTAGAAGTCCACTTCTTGTGGGGCTCTTGAGAGCCTGTGGCCTCCCGCTGACAGAACTCAGGGCACAGCGCTCTCCTGGCAAGCGGGACACGGGCCCCAGCTCCTTCCGCTCCATCTCCGAACGGCAGCCCCACAGACTCTCCACACCACCTCTCCGGTCTTTAGTGGAACCACAGGTAGGTTTTCAAGAACGGAGATGGGCTCACAGAAAAAGACACCTTTGTATATTTTACTCTTCATTTCACTGTTGGAATTTTTACTGCATGCATAATTTAATTAAAAGTTAATTTTAATTAAGAGATTACCAGAAGGAAAATAAAAATCCACCCCAAAAGCCGGACAAGGGTCCAGGCTGGGGATGCTGGCTGCCTGAGAGGACCACAGTGGTGTCACCAGCGTGGACCCGCTCCGGACCAGACTCGCTCTCGGACTCGGGGCCAGTGCTGGGGGGGGGGGGGGGTGGCTTATCCAAAAATTCAAAATATCACTCCCATGTATTTTCACCGTTACCTTTTTGATATTTTTGATATCTTGCCCCCAAATGTAAATTGTGTCCATGATAAAATAATTGCTCAGTACACACAGCTCCATCCCTACTTGCTCAACAGACCTATCCATTTTCCTTGAAACACTTCTCTTGGCCTTTCTTTAAACAGGATGCCTCTCACCCTTTCCAGACATTCAGTGGTCAGGGCCCTCCCCTGGCCCGGCCCTGTTGGTCTGTTTTGGGGGGCTGGTCTGTCCTGGGGTTGGTCTGTCCTGGGGGGGCTGGCCTGTCCTGCGGACGGGTCTGTCCTGGGGGCTGGTCTGTTCAGGGGCTTTCTGTCCGGAGGCGGGGGTGGGGGGCTGGTCTGTCTGGGGGGAGGCCTAGTCTGTCTGAGGGGGCTAGTCTGTCCTGGGGGCTGTTCTATCCAGGGGGGCTGTTCTATCCTGGGAGGCTGGTCTGTCCCGGGAGGGGGGGGTTGCTAGTCCTTCTGGGGACACAGGTCTGTCTGGGGGGAGGGGGAATGTGCCCTGAGAGAGCAGCCCAGGTGTCACAGGGGCAGAGCTGGACCCCAAGGAGAGGGCGCCCATCCTTCCCTGAAGACCCCCACGGCGAAGGAAGGACGGGGACCCATGCTCCATGTCCTGGGCCCCCACTCCGACCCATTCACGAGGCCACACTGGATCACGAGAGTTTATTGAATTAAAGTCAGCGTCCTGACAACTGAGTGCCCCCTCACACTGGGCACATGCCTCACTGCTGCAGTCGGAGACGCTTTAATCTGGAGTCATTTACTGCTACAGACACCCCGCCTCGTGTTTAAAAAATAAACATTGCCAAAGCATCTTACAGCCCAAACTAAGCAGATCCTCACTCAAACATTCAGGATTTTTTGAGGAAAACTCAGGAGGAGGAAACAGCTCTGAAGAGCAGACACCACTAGAGCTTTGGCACGGCCCGTGCGAACCCACCCCAGAGCTGCCCCTCCGCCCTGCAGAGGGAAAGCCACACGGAAGCTGCTAGAACCCTCAGACGCTGGGGGCCTGGGAGCTTGCCCAGGGCTGTTGGGCATGGCTGAGATGCTCCTGTAAAAGAGGGGGAAAGATACAGGGTGACCAGAGATGCCCATGCCTGGCCACAGCCCCCCACCTTGGAACATCACCCCAGGCCTGAGAGGAGTGTGGGGACACTGGCCTCACGTGTCCCCTCTCCTGACTAGCAGGCCATCTCCCTGTCCTGGAAGACAGACGTCAAAAGCTGTATGCTGCAGGTGCATGCAATTCCCAGAATCCAGGGGGAACGCCCCACAAGTGCGGCCATGCTCGGGGGATGGGTGCATCTGCCCAGACCTGGTCCCAGGCCCTGGCTTTCCTGGGAGCACACAGGGACAACCCCACCACACCCCTAGGACTCATGGGGACCTCTAGACTCTGGTGCCAGCACCCCCTGAGCTCACTCTGGCCAGGGCCCAGCCGGCATGGACACAGGCTTGCCCCCTCACTGCCAGTAGGGTCCACGCCAGCATCTCCCAGGAGGAGGCCAATGCAGAAATGAGGCATGGGGGCGCACAGGACACCTCTGGGCCCCACTGCCAAGCTGAGAGCCGAGTCCTGAGTCCTGTGAGGCGGCTGCACTGAAGGTGACCCGGACAAGGCCAACTCCAACTGGAGAAACAAGAGCACTTGTAATGTGCGTCCTCGCAGCTTCCTTTCCACATGCATCAGGCGCATACAAAACCCCAGCCACACCCTCTGTGCCCAGGCCCTGTCCTGAGTCACCCTCGCGTACATGCTGTCACCAGGGCGTCCACGTTTGGGCCCTTCTGAGACCAGGCTCTGTGCGCCAGGACCACGGGTTCTCCGGGTGCTACCGTTCACTCCTGCTCCCCAATCCCACCCATGCCGAGGGTCGCCAAGAGCCGGGCTGCAGGCCCCGGGGGCCCCTGCACGCTGACACCCGGAGAGGGCTTCCTGGTGCCCTCCATCCCGTAGGAGCCCTAAGTCTGTCTTTTCCTGGGTCTGTGAGCATATTCCAAGTTCCAGACAGGTGTTTTTTGAGAGGAAGGAAGAGAACACTTGCTTTTCCATCACCTGAAAAACAGCCGCCGCCCAGCCCTGGGGTATAAAGCCCACTTGCACTCGTCCTCAGGGTATGAGCACAAATGTTGGCACCCAGGCCCCCCACCAGCCCATCGCAGACCCACAGAGGCTGATCAAGATCCCAACAGCCAAGACACCTTGTTGGGCCATGGTGCCTGCCTGCCCCAGACAGGGAGGACAGGCGGCCGGGCAGTGCGCACGGCAGGAGGCCACATGTCCGTGTCCTCCCCGCCACCTCAAAGGGCCTTGGCACTGGCAGGGTGTGCCACGTGGGGGGCTGGCTTCTGGGGGTGGCGGGCGAAGGCATAGGCCTGTCCCAGAATGGCCAGGTCCACCAGCACCTGCAGCAGGCCGCACACGGAGAACTGCAAGGGGGCGCCGTTCAGCAGGAAGTAGGCCGTCTTGAAGGTGTCGCCACTGGTCCACATGAGCACCATCTTGATGCTGCGGAGACACAAGCCAGGGGTCAGGGGCCACCCAGGCCGCCGCCTGTCCCCCCATCCCTCCCATCCTCACTGTGAGGCCACGACACGCACAGCCCCAGGGACAGGAAGGCCCTGCAGCTGTCCGGGCGGGGAAGCCGACACAGTGGCAGGGCCCACGTGGCCTCTCGAGCATTCTGTCCCTCCTGGCTGCAGGCATGTGCGCTGTGCCCCTCAGGAGACGTGCTGTAGCCTCAGACAGGAGAGGGAAGACCACCCCTCCCCACACGGCACCCCAGGGCCCACCAGGAAGGTGAGGACTGCCGGAGAACACCACTAGGCCACAGGGGCGGGAGGGGAGGTCCTCTCACCCAGGGCTTTCCCACCTGGCTGGGGAGCCCCCCGTCTGCACCCAGGGTGCCAAGGACAAAACCAGAGGCTGCCAGCAGAAGCAGAGTGAACCCCTGCTCTCGGGAACCCCTGCCTGGCCACAACCCCCTCCCTCAAAAGATAACTGGAGGGCGATTCCATTTCTGGTCACCAACGCCAACCCCCCTTCGAACGTTTCGGATCAGTCCGCAGGGGGGCAGGGATCCTCGTGGGTGATGAGGGAACTATCACTCACTGCCCACATCCCCCACACACGTCTCTGCGCACAGCTTCGCGTGCCCTGGCTTCCCAAGTCAAGGGCACAAACACCACTGTGTTTTCCTGCACAAGTATATTTAAATCAGACCCATTTCCATCAGCAGCCTGAACCTCTAACAGCTAATTAAACCAGACCACAGAGTTTGAGAGGGGAGCTGTTGCCAGGTGGCAGGAAGGGGGGGGTGAAGATCCCCAAGCAGACAGGATGCACATCAGAACTGCCAACACCAGGCCAAGGGCCGGGCAGGCACTGAGCTCCTGGAGGGAGACAGCCCTCCACCCTGGACAGCCCTCCACCCCTGGGCATTCTGACCACCTCTGAGCCCCAGGCCGGTTCCTATTCCTAAAACCAGGGTGAGGAGCCCCGTCTCCTGTACTCCCAGCCCGAGGACAGAGCTCTGCGTCCCCTCCTCTGCCCACTGAGAAGCCCAACCAGCCACACAGAATGCAGACGGGGAGGGGAAAGCCCTCCTGACCTTACACATACACAGCTGCTTGAGGCTTCTCTGGGATGGTCACTGGGAAAATGGCCAAGGCCTGGCACGCCCCAAGCAGCTTGTCTGCAGACAGACACTCTACATCCAAAAGAGCCCACGGATACATCATATTTGGCCTGTAATACTGGCTCACACCGTATTTCAAAATTTTTGTTTTGAGGGAGCTGATAACTAATTCTGCATTTTTAAAATCCACATTATACGTAATAGATCCTCTTTTTCTGGCTGCTTTCAACATTTGACTTTGGTTTTTAGCAGACTGTGATGTGATATATGTTTGGGATTTGCTACACTTCTCAAATCTGTAAAGTTTATTTAACATCAAATTTGGAAAGTTTTCAGACAGTCCTTCAACTATTTTTGTCTGCTCCACACCCCTTCTCTCCTCGACTCAGATGACATCAATGTTAGATTTTTTGGTACTTTCCCTGAGTCTGTTTTCCCCCCTGGTTTTTCTCTGTTGTTGAGAATGTATTTTTATTGATCTGTCTTCAAGTTCACAGACTCATTCCCGGGCCATCTGCATTCCACTACTGAACTCACAAAGTACATTTTTATCTGGCTTACTGTGATTTTTAATTTAAAATGTTCTGTTTGGTTCTTTTTTATAGCTTCCATTTCTTTGCTGAGATGTCCCGTTTTCCATTCATTTCAAGAGTGTTGGCTCTTCTCTCTGGACCAGTTTCCCAGTGACCATTCATTCCCAAGCCCGGGTCCCCTCGGTTGACTGTGTTGTCTACTGGTTTTCTTCTCCTTGGAAAGCTGTTGAGATGCTCCTGATGCTTCCTATGCTGAGTAATTTTGGTTTGTATCCTGGACATTTTTAACATTATATAATGAGACTCCAAGTCTTATTAAAAATCCTATGGAGAATGTCAGGTTTTCTGTTCTAATAGGCAACTGGCATGGTTAAGTTCAAGCTGCACGTGGGCTGCAATTCAAGTCAGCTCCATTTTCAAAGCCCCTGCAGTGCCATCTGGGTCTGTACTTTGTGGGCAGCACTTAGTGGCTGGTCTGGGATGTGGCAGTGGTCTACCCCACAATTCAGTTCTCAACTCCTTTGGGATGTAGGTTAGGGCCAAATCCATGCATGCATAGCTTGGGGGTGAGCCCAGGAGTTCACGTACAACTGCACAGGATCCCTGTCCCAAGATGCGTCCACTCCTCCATCTCCCTGACTCTGTGCCTTGGGGACACTCTTCTCCCGTCTCCTCTGGCTGGAAAGCCAGGGCTTAAGTCTCGTGGCCCTGCTGTGCACCTTCCATGGCTGATCTGCCTCCAGGTGCACGAGGTGGGAGGGTAGAGGGAAAGAGCCACGGGATTCCCCTCCGTTCTCAGGATCTTCTTCCTCTGCTGCCCTGGGGCTGCCTCCAGCTTTGAAGAACGCCACTTCCGGACTGGGGCCTGCCTGGGACCTGGGGGTAAGAGCAAGGCCAAAACACCAGCAGCCCCGGCTCTTGCTCACCCTTTCCCACACTCAGAGCATGGAGGCTCCACTGGGAGCACTTCCTGCCCGGTCCCGGGGCAAGTCCTGAGCTCCAGGCTGTGCTGAACTCCAGGCTGGCAAATACGGAAGGGAGAACAGAGTGGCCCATGCCAGTCACTCATGGGGTTTCCTTCCCCCACCCTGCCCACTTCCGCTGACCGCCGGAGTCCCCAGAGCTGCTCCGCACCTTCTGTCCAGGCTCTCAGCTGCACTCAAGGGGAGAGATGGGCTAACCCCCGGCAGCCCCGTGAGAAAGATCTGAGACTGGTGGTTCGGGTCGGTGTTCCGCCACTGGCCACGTTCCCCAGCTGGTCCCTGTAGACAACTGGCCTGGTCCACTCCAGACGGGGCGGCTGAGGAGCAGGAGGGACGGTGCTTGCTGCCGTGACGGTTCCCACACCCTGCACTACCCAAGGCTGTGCCTCTAGCTCGGTCCGGATGGTCCTGGTCTGGAGCACCAGCTGGGGATCTCGGCATGCGACAGAAAGGCCCTCCGGGGGGCTGGAGAGGCAGGTAGAGCACCAGGAGCTCAGGCCAACTGCACACTTAGCACCGGTGGGGGCCACGGAGGTGAGGACACACCGGAGCGACGAGCGGAGGGAGGGAAGCAGGTCAACCAGGGGATGGAGCTGAGTCCTGCAGGCCTGGGCTGGGCCCACCAGGAGGCTGCAGGCACCTGGCCAACCAGAGCTGAGATGTACCATCTGAACTGCACCAAGGAGGGGCCGGCCTGCCCGGGCGGGGCTGCTCTCAGCTCCCACGCTCACACCCCTGTGCTTTTCCAAGGAAAACCCACACCCACAGAGCAAGCATTTCAAGGAGAAGCTCCAAGAGCAACCCATGTTTCTGCAAAAGGCCATGAAGACAAGGAGAGAAGCAACAGGGCTCAGCAAAGGAGTCCAGTTCCATCTTCCAGAATTTAGAGCTCAAGGCACAGTCTTCCCCAGAAATAGCCACACTTTAGTAGGAGATGGAAAGACCTCCCTCAAAACACAATAAAACCTAACGAGCATGGGGCGCCTGGGTGGCTCAGTCGGTTAGGCGTCTGCCTTCGGCTCAGGTCATGATCCCAGGGTCCTGGGATTGAGCCCCACATTGGGTTCCCTGCTCCGCGGGAAGCCTGCTTCTCCCTCTCCCACTCCCCCTGCTTGTGTTCCCTCTCTTGCTGTGTCTCTGTCAAATAAATAAATATTTAAAAAAAAAAAAAACCTAACGAGCCACAGAGATGGTTCTAGGCCAAGCAGCAGGGTCTGTCAGGGGCCCTGGCTGGAACCTTCTCAAGTGGACCTGTGTGGGGAGCAGCTGGGGCTAGAGTGACACCAGCCTGGAAAGGCTCCTCAGGGCTGGGCCGTTCCTGGGGTGAGGAAGCTCCCGGCCCCCTTGAGATGGCCACCTTGCAGGGAGCTGGCCCCTCCATTCACTGGTGGCTCCAAGCAAGGCGGGACTCCACACAAAGGCCCACAGCATGCTCCCTGTGGGGCAGGCAGAAGGTGCAGCTGGAGCCAGGCCCAGGACCCCCGCCCGGTGCCCCGTCAGAGCCCCATCAGAGCCCCCAGGCCCTGAACACACAGGTGCACTTTCTACCCCCGCCAGTGGAGACGTGAGGTCACTGCTCCGGGTGGGGCACTGACTGATGTAAGGACCATTCTTAGCTGCACAGATGCCTCACCCAGCCATGGCCCTTGGGCCAGCATGGCTCAGGCTCAAGAATGCGACAGCCTTGTTGAGGCCCCACACCAGCCGCCTCAGTGCAGGGCTCAGGGTGGGGTGGGGGCACCACAGTAAGGTCAAATACTAATCGAGTATTTGGACAAGCACTGCCCTGAGTGGTCTGCTCATCAGGAAGGAACACCCTTGTGCAGGGAACAAGGGCTCTGGATGGAGAAGCTCATGCTGTCACCCCAAGACCCTGAAGTGCCCTGCCCCCACGCCTCTCAGGACCTTCAATGAGCTGTGAATTCCTATCACCCACAACAACTATGGGAGGGAGGGACGAGCCCCAGAAGTTGGGCTATCACCCTACAACATGCCAGGGATGTATGTCCTGGAGACCCCCTTCCTTGGATGGAGGAAACTCAACCAGCCCAGAGCTCCAACAATGCAGGAAGCCCAGACTGTCACCTCCCATGCCCCAGGCCGTGTCCTTCCTGCTCAGGCTGGTAGCCTGGGAGCTGGATTCCTCTGCCCATCACCAACTCCAGCTGCTGCCTCCTGCACCTGACCGCCCCCGCCCCCTTCTACTGTTTTAATCCAGGCTCCTATTACCTCATTCTTGGCTCCTGCATTTTCCCTCCCAAACTATTCCTAAAATTCCTCTCACCTCACCCTTTTGCCCTATCCAGCAGTCCAGAAAGCCTCTTCCCAGTTGTTGCCCAAGAGGTGATGGCTAGACTTCCTTGCCTGCCCAGCTTCCCCCAAAGCCCAACTCAGGCATGTCAACTCCTATGGCCTCCCCAGCCCTCCCCTTACTCCCACCCCCAGCCTAGACCCAGACCTTCCCCTTTCCACCTATCAAAAGCTCTCCTGTAATTCAAAATCCATCCAAAACACATCCCAAAGGAGTAGGTTTTTGTGACCTTGGGTTAGACAGTGGTTTCTTGGGTATGACAACAAAAGCATAAGCAACAACCACCCCCCCACACACACAAACACATTAGACTGCAGCAAATTTAAAATCTTTTGTGCTTAAGACGAAAGTGAAAAGACAACCCACCGGATGGGAGAAAAAAATTGCAAATCATAATATGCCTGATAAGGTTCTAGTATCCAGTGCATATAAGGAACTCTACAACTCAGTAATAAAAAGACAAACAACCACACTTAAAAATGGGCAGAGGCCTGGCCAAAGAAGATACACAGATGGCCAAAAAGCACATGACAAGATGCTCAACGTCAGTAGTCATCAGGGAAATGCAAATCAAAACCACACTGAGATCCCAGGTGACACCCACTAAGATGGCTAGAATCAAAAGATTACATAGTAACAAGTGTTGGTGAAGATGCGTAAGGATCAGAACCCTCACACGCCACCGTGGACACAGCATGGCAGCTCCTCAGATAATTCAACACAGATCTACCATCTGACCCAACGATTCCACTGCCGGTCTATTCCAAGAGAAATGAAAACAAATGTCCACACAGAAACTTGTACATGAATTTCAAAGCAGCATTATATTAGCCAAAAAGATGTTGAACAACCCAAATGTCCATTGACTGAAGAACAAAAGTGGATATATCCATACAATGAAATATTATGGTCCAGCCTCAAGAGTGGAGCATGGGTACGCTGTACGTGGAGGAGCCTGGGAACACTGTCAGGTTTTACATGACTCCACTTATGTGAAGTGTCCTTAGAGACAGCAGATCGGTGGCTGCCGAGGGCAGGAGGTCGGGAGCGAATGAAGAGTGATCACCAGCAGGTACGAGGTTCCTTTTTGGGGTGTGATGAAAATGTTCTAACATTACACAGTGGTTGCACAACTCTGTGGATAGACAAATCCCTCCAACTGTATACTTGAAATGGGTAATAGAACCCCTCTAGCTCCCATGCCCTCTCCAGGTGCACTCATCTCCCCAAATCTACACCTGAAGCTCTCTGAAGAGCTCATCTGAATTACCACATAGATGTTTCTTATAAATCATTATATTGCAATTTATATATCAAATTTTGCTGATCCATTCATCCATCAATGGACACTTGAGTTGCTCCCACATTTTAGCTGTTGTGAACAGTGCAGCTAGAATGTGAGCATACAAATATCTCAGGACCCTGCTTTCAACCCTTCCGGGCAGATACCCAGAGGTAGAACTGCTGGATCATATGGTGATTCCATTTTTTATTTTTTAAGGAACCTCCATACTGTTTTCCACAGGGGCTACACCGGTGTGCATTCCCACCAACAGTGTGTGAAGATGCCTCTTTCTCCACACCCTCGCCAACACTTGCTGGTTTTCTTTTTCTGGGAGCAGCCGTCCTACTCAGTGTGAAGTGGGACCTCAGTGTAGCTTGAGCTGCATTTCCGTGATGATTACGGAAGCTGAGCATCTTTTCTTGTGCTTATTGGCCACTTATACATCTGCCTTGGAAAAATATTTTTCCAGTCTTTTATTCATTTTTAATTGGATTGTTTGGTTTTTTGTCATTGAGTTTTAGAAGCTCTTTCTATAGTCTTTTTTTTTTTAATATTTATTTATTTATTAGAGAGAGAGAGAGAGAGAGAGAGAGAGAGAGCACGCGCAGGGGCAGCGACAGAGAGAGAGGTAGGCTCCCCGCCGAGCAGGGAGCCTGATGAGGGGCTCGATCCCAGGACCCTGGGACCATGACCCGAGCCAAACTACAGTCTTAATATTAATCCCTAATTGGATAGATGATTTGCACATATTTTCTCCCATTCTATAGGTTGCCTTTTTACTCTGTGGATAGTCTTTTGATGCATAAAACTTTTTGATTTTATAAAGTCTAATTTGCCTTTTTGTTTTTTCCTGTGCCTTTGGTGTCACATCCAAGAAATCACTGCCAAATCCAATGTCATGATGCTTTTCTCCTATGTTTTCTTCTAAGAATTTTATGGTTTTAGGTGTCACATTTAGGTCTTTGATCCATTTTGAGTTCATTTTTATATATGGTGCCAAGTAAGCGTCTAACTTCATTCTTTTGCATGTGGATATCCCATTTCCCCAGAACCATTTGCTGAGAAGACTGTCCTTTCTCCACTGAATGGTCTTGGCACCCTTGCTGAAAATCATGTAAGGGTTGTTTCTGGGCTCTCTACTCTATTCCAGTGGTCTACTTGTCTTTATGCCAATAACACACTGTCTTGATTACTGTACCTTTGCAGTTATTTTTGAAATCTGAAAGTGTGAGTCCTCTAGTTTTGTTCTTGAGATTGTTTTGACTTTTTGGGGTCCCTCAATATTCCATATGAATTTTAGGACTGGTTTTTCTATTTCTTCAAAAAAACCAGAAGGATTTTGATAGGATTCCATTAAATCTGAGATTGCTTTGGGTAGTATTGACATTTTAACAATACTGAGTCTTTCAGTCCATGAACATGGGATGTCTTCCCATTTTACTTATGTCTTCAATTTCTTTCACCAGTATTTTGTAGTTTTCATTGTATAAGTCTTTTACCTCCTTGGTTAATTCCTAAGTATTTATACTTTTCATATCCTCATAAATGGAACTGTTTTTGTAATTTCCTGAGTGCCCTGTAACCTGCTCTTGGTTGCACTGGGGGATTAAGCTGTTGTGTCATTTCCTACATTAAGAAGCCTGAATCTTGGGGTGCCTGGGGTGGCTTAGTTAGTTGAGCATCCAACTCTTGATTTAGGTTCAGGTCATATTCTCAGAGTCGTGGGATTGAGCCCCGTGTTGGGCTCTGTGCTCAGTGGGGCATCTGCTTGAGATTCTCTCTCTCCTTCTCCCTCTGCCCCTCCCCGCCACTCTCTAAATAAATAAATAAATAAATCTAAAAAAAAAGAAGCAGCAGCAGCTTGAATCTCTGCCTTCTAGAGATGTCTGTGAACTCAGCTTCCTGTCCATGGATCATAGCCTCCAGCCATAGGCATCAGCAGCCTCTACTCTGGCCTGCCTCTGACCCACTGACAGTCCTTTCCCATCACAGAAGCTTGCACTTGGAAAATTGAGACAATGTTGGATTCAACTGCCAGGGTATTCCCTGTATGCTGGATATACTAAGAGCTGCCTACAGGATCTAACCAGTAAACAGTGACAGCCCAGGTGCAGCCAAACACTCAGGTGGGCTTGGAAGCAGTAGGTACCAGAGCAATGTGAGCCCACTGTGAGCATGCTGTGGCCACAAATCAGGTGGTTAGCCTCAGTGAGTCTGCAGGTGCCAAGGGTCCCCAGGGAGGGGATACCCTGTCCCAGCCACTGGACAGGCCTCCAACAGCACATTCAGATCTAAAGGTGCACACTAGCTGTCTTCTGTCATGCTTCACTTGAATAGACCCATCCAGGGAGAATTGGGTAAGGAAGGGGCTATAAGCCATATCACAGGAGGGATGGCCAATGGACCTGAGGGAGATCAGCACAGAAAAGAGGCCCCCAGGGAGGTGGGGTCATGATGCTACCTTCACACACACAGGACCATCCTGGGAGGGGCTGAGGGTCTGCATGGATCTCAGGGGAAAAGGCATGAGAGGTTCAGCTACTACTATGGAGCCATTAACAGAGCCCTGCACAGGTGTACTCACACCTGGGGAGGAAGCTCCCCATCACAGGAAGCAAGCAAGTGCTAGAGGAACACCTGGCAGGAATGACAAAGATTTTGAGCAAGCCCACCCAAGGGGATCCCTGGAATTCCAGTGGACACCCTGTTCCAATGCCATAGGTGACTCTCATGGGGCCAGGACAGGACATGGAGGGCTCCACCCAAGGCCTTTGAGACCCGTTCCATACTGGCCTTCCGTGACTTGGTGGACATTTGAAGACATGGATGGCAACAGCACATTAGCTCTGCTGTGACACACAGCTACCACCAAGAGGTAATCCCATGACCCAGCCTCTACCACTGGTCGCCAGGGTCACCTCTGCACACATCTACACTCTGTGGGCAGAGCCTTCTCTCTTATCCCCTCTCCTATGCTCAGCACATCCCTCCCACTACGATGCTTCAGGTTCATCCTTAAAGACCCCGTACCGTGTATCTGCTTCACAAGACAGTCTCAGCATCCCCTTACCTGTTCCACGCTAACACATCTGCTCATGCATCAAGACGTCTGTGCTCTTTCCCTGGCAGTTTTGCAAATATAACTGAAAATACAGCAGCCAGGTTTGTACACATTTGATTTTTACCGAACATGTGGGCACACTGGTACCAACAGGTACGGTGAGAGCAACACGTGCCGCCTACCTCATGCCCTCAGTGGACTGGTGGCGGTAGTTGCGGTAGAGCTGGGGGACACCCAGCGTGGCCTCGGTCAGCACAGCCAGGAAGCCCAGGGTCTCCACAAACAGGGCTGAGTCAATGGACAGGTATGTGACGTAGCCCGCCACGCCCGTGAAGGCCAGGACACATTGCACGTAGTCCCCAAAGCTGCTCCAGTGCCAGAAGTGGTGAGGGTCAAAGTCTAGGGCGAGAGGGAGAGAGAAATGTAAACTAGGCATACAGGCCAAGGTCACCATGAGGAAAGAGGATGTGAACTGAGGTGAAGGTCAGCATGAGGAGAGATGAAAACTGAGTGAGGAGGTCAAGGTCAGCATGAGGAGAGAATGTGAACTGAGTGAGGAGGTCAAGGTCAGCGTGAGGAGAGAATGTGAACTGAGTGAGGAGGTCAAGGTCAGCGTGAGGAGAGAATGTGAACTGAGTGAGGAGGTCAAGGTCAGCGTGAGGAGAGAATGTGAACTGAGTGAGGAGGTCAAGGTCAGCGTGAGGAGAGAATGTGAACTGAGTGAGGAGGTCAAGGTCAGCGTGAGGAGAGAGAATGTGAACTGAGGTGAAGGTCAGCATGAACAGAGATGAAAACTGAGTGAGGAAGTCAAGGTCAATGTGAGGAGAGAATGTGAACTGAGTGAGGAGGTCAAGGTCAGCATGAGGAGAGAAGGTGAACTGAGTGAGGTGGTCAAGGTCAAAATGCAGAAGATAGATATGGGCTTTGGGGCTCCATAAGCTCTTGACCAAGGCACTTGTGAGGGAACCTTGATACAGATATGGATTCAATGTAGAGATGCTAAAATCCTTAAATCCACTATAATATAGTGCAGGGATTGTACTGGAGCCTCTGAAATCTCTTTTCTGGGTAGAATCCTCACTCCTTCCCTCCACAACTGCATTAGTTAACCACGTGTCTCCATCTCTTCAGATGTAAAAGAGGAATAACATAACCTACCTCCTACGACTGTTGTAATAGTTACACGAGCTAATCTTATGAACCCTATAAAGTGCACAGCCCATAATAAGGGACCAATAAAGGTATGTACTTATCATCACTACACACTTTGTTGACGGAACGTTATCGTTTGCTCGACAGATGTGTCCTACGGAAACGAAACTCTAAGCACTCACAAATCAGCCAACTACATGAAGTTCCTGGGCTTTGGCAGATAAACAAGGGAGGTCCTGGGGACAGAAGTGGCTTCAGGGAAGGTCAGGAAAATGGGGACAAATACAGAGAGAACATGAGGGGGCATGATGTGCCCCAAGACAGGCCTGGCCCTTAGACTGGCAGGGTCTGGAGCCAGGGCACCCCACCAGGGCTGCAGGCATGGGCAAGGGTGCGGGGTGGCAGGGGCTGGCCATCCAGGGGCCGGGAAGTACCCTGAGGGGAATATTCAACCTGCACACATGTGCCTGTCCTCCCAACCCTGGGCCCTCCCTTCTAGCTCCACTCCCTCTCTCCATATGAGAACATAGCCCAAAGTCTGAGCTAGAAAGGGGGAACGCAGGCAGGAGGGCCAGAGGAGGGATGAATGCATTCTGCAGGCGTGACAACACTTCCCACAGCAGGGCAGGGTATGAGCCAGCTGTGCTTCATGAACAAACCCCAGCTGCCACATGGGGGTGGCCTGAGTGTGCAGGGGAGCCTGGCACACAGAGCTGGGGGCAAACACTGAGGTATTCCTTACAGAGAATATGTAATCATGAAAGGGTACAGCAAGGGGACGAATCTCAGACCTGGCTGAAGTTCTGCCTTTGTGCCTGAGGAGCGGAGAGAACGTGGTCAGAGCTGAGAACTTGGGCCAGGACAGGGATGAGCTGAGGATACCACCTCAGGGTCCAGGGGGCCTTAGGAAACAAGGCCCAAGGTCAATCTGTCGGAAGCCTTTCTATTTTAGGTTCTCAAGGAGCAAGTCAATTAACAAATGACTAAAAGAAAATCCTTACCAAAAGTTTCTGAGAAAAGACTGAGGCTAGACCCTTACCTTAGCATATACAAAAATCAATTCAAAATGGATCAAAGACCTAAACATGAGAGATAAAACTCTTAGGAGAAAATATAGAGGGAAAAACCTTCAGGATGTTGGATTTGTCAATGGTTTCTTAGATGTGACAACAAAAGCAAGGCAACAAAAGAAAAAATAGATAAATTGGATGACATCAAAATTTTAAACTTCTGTGTTCCTAGGGAAAAAAAGCTCTTTGACATTATTGGTCTTGGCAACAATTTTTTAGATATGACACCAAAAGTGAAAGCAACCAAAGCAAAAATAAATGAGTGGAATTACATCAAACTGAAAGGCATCTGCAGAAAAAAAACAACCAGCAAAATGAGAAGGAGACTTACCGAGCAGGAGAAAATATCTGTAGACTGTCCCTCTTTCTCCAGGTTTATATCCAAAATATATATGAAACTCATACAACTCAAAGGCAAAAAAAAAAAAAAAAAAAAGCCAATCCAATTAAAAAATGGTCACAGGACTAGATCAGGTCTTTTTCCAAAGTAGACGTACAAATGGCCAACAGACATGTGAGAAGATGCTCAACATCCCTCAGCATCAGGGAAATGCAGATCGAAACCACAATGAGAGATCACCTCACACCTGTCAGAACGGCTAAACTCAAGAGGACAAGAAACAGCAGTGTTGACGAGGATGTGGAGAAAGAGAACCTTGAGCACTGTGGGAGGGGATGCAAACTGGTGCAGCCATTATGGAAAACAGCATGGAGGTTCCTCAAAAAATTAAAAATAGAGCTACCACATGATCTAGCAATTCCACTTCTGGAATATAGACAAAGGAAATGAAATCACTATCTTGAAGAGATACTTGCACCCCATGCTCACTGCAGCATTACTCACAATAGCCAAGACGTGGAAACAACCTCAGTGACCATCAAGACATGAATGGATAAAGAAAACGTGGTATATATATAACACAATATTATTCAGCCATTAAAAAGGGGCGATGGGGACAGAAATCGTGCCTTTTGTGCCAATATAGATGGATCTTGCGGACGTTATGCTAAGTAAAATCAGTCAGAGAAGGACAAGTACTGTATGCTCTCACTTCTATGTGGAATCCAAAATGACAAACTTACAGAAACAAGAGGAGAATGGTGGTTGCCAGGACTGGGGGTGGTGGAGATGTCGGGCACCAACTTCCAGCCGTATGATGAACAAGTTCTGGGATCCAATGTACAGAATGGTAACTATAATTAACAATATTGTATTATACACTTGAAAGTGGCTGGGGCACCTGGCTGGCTCAGTTCATGGAGCATGCAACTCTTGATCTTGGGCTTGTGAGTTCAGGCCCCACTTTGGGTACAGAGTTTACTTTAAAAAAAAAAAAGAAAGAAAGAAAAGAAAGAAAAAAAAGAAAGGTGTAAAGAGAGTAGATCTTAAATGTTAAAAAAAAAAAGGTAAGGGGCGCCTGGGTGGCTCAGTCGTTGGGCATCTGCCTCCAGCTCGGATCATGATCCCAGGGTCCTGGGATCGAGCACTGCATTGGGCTCCCTGCTCCACAGGAAGCCTGCTTCTCCCTCTCCCACTCCCCCTTCTTGTGTTCCCTCTCTCGCTGTGTCTCTCTCTGTCAAATAAATAAATAAAATCTTAGAAAAAAATAAAAAAGTACGTGAGGGTGTAGAAGTGTTAATTAATCTTACTGTGCACTTATTTCTCAATATATGTGTATTAAATCATCACACTGTACGTCTTAAATGGTTATATGTCAATAATATCTCAATAAAGCTGAAAAAATTTAGTTTTTAAAAAAACCTCTGTGTTTCAAAGGACACATCAACAGAGTGAAAGGCAACCCAGGGAATGGGAAAGAATCACATATCCAATAAGGAACTTGTATGTAGAATATATAAAGAATGCTTACAACTCAAAAAACAAACAAAGAAACCCCATGTTTAAAGGGGGCAAAGGAGCTGAACAGACAGTTCATGGTCAATAAGCACATGAAGAGATACTCAATGTTGTTAATCATTACGGAAGTGCAAATCAAAACCACAATGAGCTACAACTTCACAACCATTAGGATGGCTGCTATTAAACAGAAATTGGCATTGGCCAGGACATGGAGAACCTTGGCCCTTGTCACTGCTGGTGGGAGCACAGAATGTCTGCGGCCACCGTGGAAACAGTAGAGAGCATCCTCTCAAAATTAAACACAGAACTACTGTGTGACCCAGGATTCTCCTTCTGGGTATGCGCCCAAAGAACTGAGAAGCAGGGACTCAAACAGACATCCATGCAACCATGTTCACAGCAACAGTATTCACAATAGCTGAAACACGGAAGCAATTCACTGTCCATCAACAGCTGAATAGACAAGCAAAATGTGGTCTATACATATGACAGTATTATTCAACCTTAAAATGGAAGAAAATTCTGCAATATGCTAAAACACGATGAACTTTGAGAGCATTATGCTGAGTGAAATAAGCCAATTACAAAAAAGAAGAGAAAACAGAGTCCCCGTGCCACCCCGGGTGGCAATTCTAATCCAGAGCGAAGGAAGCAAAAGGAACAATTCATCACCATCACCACTGCTGCTGAAAAGATGAGGCATCCTTCCACTCTGGTAAAGTCCAGGCTGTCGGGGAAGAAGATCCCAAATTAGAGAGGTATTTACAGGTAAGCAGCCAAGAGAGGTGAGGGGCAGACAAAGGCCAGGAAAATGAAAACTGAGCTGCCACTCCCTTTCCAGTCCAGATGGAGCCACAGAGACCAGATTTACTCTCCCAAACAACTAAAAAATGGACAAAATATACATCTACGAAACACTGGACATGAGGCAGTAAAGGACAGTGACCTCTGGCAGACAGGAAACAAGTGAAGTGAGCCCCAAATGCCCCAGGTTAGGCCTGGAGCGAGTTTCCAGGGAACCCAGGCCAAGGCCACAGAAACCCGCAGTGCGGGAGACGACACAGCGTCCGGGAAACAAGGCAGCTGGAGTTGATGGGACAAAGCACCACCAAAGCAGGACTGCACAGAGAACGCTGCAGGTCTGCACTGGGTCCTCCTCAAGCACTCAGCCGAGCACTGATCACAAGACCAGGGAAAGAACCAACCAAGACGGTAACTATTCACAGTGCCCAGCGTCCACAAAGGGCCAAGACTAGTGCCTATCAGCCAAAGCAGGGAACCTCAAAATTGACAGGGCTTTGGGTAGAACATGCACC